TTATTCGTTAAAAAATTTTTAGGTTTGGTTGTAGATAGATCGTGTCCAAATTATTCCAGTTTTCCACTTCACGATTACCTCTTGAGTTTTAATCTAGCATGATTTACTTCTTTATAGGGCTTTCGTAACATGCCATGTATTTTTCCGTGTTTTAAAGTGACGGCTGATATTTTCTTATACTGTTTCCACTGCAGCTAAAACTACTTATGTTACTGGAATCAAGATTTGATTGTTTCCATTGGCATAAACTAATTCATTTACCTATGCATATAAAATAGCTTGTTTGTTTACATTTAAAATATAAAACACTTTTTATATTACAATTATTTTAAATTTTGATTCCTTGTGGGAAATTTATTTTTATATATTATTTTTATTATTTTTCCCCTTAAATCAGTTGATTTATTTATAATAAGCTCATTTAACTGAAAGCAAATTGTATTAATCTTACTACCGGCCTTAATAAACCAAGTGGAAACATGGTATTAATTCTAGAACATATTCATTGGCAAAAGTTTTTACTTTTTTTACCTTTATATACGTAGTATATATTGTAGACAACTGTTTGTGAACCTTTATGATTAATGATTATAAATGATTTTAAAATTAATCAGCAAGTCGGATTTTACATCCATCAAATAGAAATTAACAGGATATTGTCTCTTAACGGAACGGAGCACTACAATCATGGTAGTTTTTTTATGCTAACAACCGAACTTAATCGAATAGAAAACAGTCAGCAATTCCAATCAAAGCAAAAATGTCCCCTATTCAGAATTTTCTTGTATAAAAAGGGGATAGAAGCTTTTAGCGTAGTTTTCATCTCGCAGATCAAAGCTGGCCAAACGCAGAGAATAAGACTAGAAGTCTCATTTAATCCCAAAACAGAGCTGACATTTAGGTTCCTTACATAGACCCACCTTGTTGATATGGTAACGCAGGCCTTGCTGACCTATCAAATAACTTACCTTAGTTTGGTTCTGCTGTGAAGGGACGTCTTGCTATATTTGTAAGGATGAACTAGCTCTTTCTACTGATGATTATACAGATTAATACGCCAATAGCGATTTCTTTCGATTGCAATTTAATTTTTTATTAGCAACGTAGTTATAAGATAACATATTTCCCAATACGGCTTTGGTACACAGTATATAACTGTCATTAATACCAATGTAACCACTCATTCAGAAAATTATTTCCAATAACTGTTCAAATTTTACATAGTCTTTATATATTGAAATTTTTATGTGAGGACAGTTTGTGACGCTTAAATGCAGCAAAGACTATTGTAAACAAATCTCACTTTAGTATTCTGGACAATACATATATTGCTTCGATAATTACGCATTAATTCAGGTAGACCTTTGTTTCCAAGCCCTACCAATGACGCGGTATATTAAGATGATTCCTCTATTTAAAATCTATAAAAATTTTAAATAGTGGGGTTGTGGCGTAAATAGTGGCTTTTATTGATCCATTGCTATTTATGTATATGATATTCAGCATCTATTTAGGAAGAAGCATGATTGTTTTTTGGCAATTGATTATCTAATAGTGTCCAATTGCGTTTTTAGTGTAGACGGATTTTAGTGTAGATATTGAGGACTGGGGTGATTGTAATGCTATGCTAGTTGTTACAGTTTATATTAAAGCTCTTTATCGTAATCAATTGTTAGGAAATAATTCGCTCTCTCTCTTTGTCTTTGGTATTTTTTTTCGTCGTAAGACACTGTAAGTTCTGTGAACTTAGTAATTCGAAAACTCACTCGAAATAACACAATGAAGATGAAGTTGTTTAGGTAATTGATTCTGTTACGACTCAGTTATAGGGATGCGGAGTTACAAAGCAGTTTGACCTTGACAAAAATGAACTGAACTGAACTGAACGACACGCATATAGAACCACAGTTTACGTACACATTAGATATAGATGAGTCTTATCACGCGTGATAAGAAACTGTTTGGCATATGGCCATATCATACCCCAAGACAGGTCAAAACTGTTCCTGTTGTCATAGGCAGTTTTATAAATTAGCTAAAAATATTCATTTTTAAACTTAAAAAATTTAAAAAATTATTTTCGAAATATAAATTATGTTTCATATTTATTTTTGTGTGGCAATTTGTTTCTTCAGTTTTATAATTTATATTTTTTAATTAATAATTTATTCATAAACTATAATTTGTTATATATCAATTAAATAATTTTTTTTATCATTTCAATTTTCTTTTCACGAAATATACTATTTCTTAAAATATTTTGTTATTAAGTGCAACGTTTTATATACATACAAACATGTATAGTATTATATATGAGAGATTAAATATAGTACTTATGCTTACAGTTGAACATATAAGATTAGATTGAAAAATTACAAGTTTTTTCTTCAATTCATAAATTTAAAACGTTAATAAGAGCACAAATAAAGCAAGAAATGATTAATAAAAAAAACCTCTCATTTACATAAATACATAAATACTCGTAATGTGTTTAAACTTATTTTCAAAAATAAGATATTTTTTAAGGGTCTTAAAATTAATTTTACTAATTTTTTATAATTTTTTTTATATATAAATTATTTTACATTACAAAATATAAATGGGTTAGGTTGGCTTATTAAAACTATAAATGGGTGAAAGACATGAGCTATGTGTCCTCTTTAAGGACCAGCATCATTGTGATGTTTATGAACTCGGCTAAAGCATTTTAAAATTTATTAAAACAAATAAATAAATAATGCTCTTTAATTAGACAATATTATTATAGTAAGTTCATTAATAAGTAGTTAATTTGACAATATTAATAAGTAGTTTATATAGGCAGCATTTACAAACAAATTTTACTAATTTAATAAAACATTTTAAATGCATTATCAGACTTTTTAAAAAATAAATAAAGTGAGATAAAAATTGTATACTCAAGTCAATGAAGGATCGAAAATTTCTTGAGAATTTCTTCCGAAAGAATTTAAGTTTTCACCAATTTAAAATATTTTTACAACTTTTATTATTCGAGGATAAAATTTTATTAAAAAAACGTTTGTCATAAACTTATATTTACAAAATGCTATATATAACAATTATATTATATATAACATATAAGAACTATATCTTGAGCATAATTTTATTTAAATAATGTTTAGTATTCATGATGAGATAAAGTGATTTCTATTTTGCAAATAGAATATGATAATAAAATTTTATAAATAAATAATTTGTAATTCATTACAATTAATTTAATAAAAATTAATTATATAAAAATAATAATTGATTAAAATCATTTAAAATAAATTTTTACAAACTAGATACTAAAAATAATTAATAAAAACATCAATTATTAAAATTAATAATAAAAAAATTATTATTCACAACAAGCAATAAAAAAAATTATTAATGAAAAGTAAATTAAAAAAATATATATTATAGAATTAATTTTTAAAATAAATAATTAAAATTCATTATTAAAATATAATATAATATACTATTAAAAATATTAATAAGCAATAACAAAATAATAAATTAATTTGTAATTAATCATTGAAATAATTTTTTACCATATTAATTACTAAAAGTTATTTTATTAAATTATTAATTATAAACAGATTACTGATTAAAAAAAATTAGTTCCATATTTATGAAATAATGAATTACAAATTATTAAAAATAATATTTATTATCTTATAAAATTATAGGTGAACAGATAATGGTTTTGTATGCCAAGCAAATATACATATAATAGTGCTTTAAAGTGTTCGAAGATTACAATGCTCAATTAGTTTTAGTATACTCGAATTCGAAAATTCGAATTAAACTCAAATGCTCGAAAATATTAAAACTGTTCAAATTTCGATTTAGTGCTTTGTTATATTTTATTTTCGTTTTATATAAATAAGGTTAACAGCAAATGTTTGAATAAAATATGGTAATCGAACTTTTTTGAGTGCTCGAAACAAATTCGCATTATGTCTTATGTTAATAAGAATAATGGTTTGGTTTAAATTACTAAAAACTCAATTACATTCACATTTTTAAATGCTGAAGAGTTCAAGAAATTATTCGAACTTAAATGAAATAAATAATGGCACTGTTTATTTAATTAAATTATGTTTAAAATTCGATTCTTATTACAAGTTTTTTAATCGAAATGAATATAAACTGATTTTCAAAATTATAATATATAATAAAGAGTAATTATAATAGTTAGTATTGATATTCTACTTTCGTTTTATGTTGTGAATAAAGTCATAGCATTTAGCATGTTAAATATAAGAAATTGTTGTAAATTTTAAGTTCAATGATTTTTGTTAAATTGATGTGCTAATTATTATATTTAAAATTAGTTAAATTAAAATTTTAGTTTAATTACTTAAACGGTAATATATTTAGTAATGAGTTTAGCGTAGTAAAAAGAATTTAAATTTAGCATAATACATACAAAATATTTTTTTTTTTAATTTTTTTTAAACATATTTCAAAAAAAATATACGTACACATACATATATTGTTATAAAATGTAATGATAATTGTTAAATTTTTTATTTGATAAAGTCACAAAGTTATAATAGTAATTAATTAATTAATTAGTTAATAAAAGTTGTCGAAGTTTATATGTCGTAAGTCTACACTTAGAATAAAGGTTTAATGGCGGCAGTTCTTACTCACTAAATATTTACAATTTTTTTAATGTTTCCTTTTATAAAATGATAATTAATGATAACTAAAATTTAAAAAAAATTCTATGGAAAAATATACATAATTATTGAGAATGAAATTTTAAAAATGAATTTAGTATTTAGAAAACCATAAATACATTAAATACGTTAACTGTGTTTGTAATTTATAGATAATTAAAGATTAAACACCCAGTCTGATTTAAAGGCATTTAAATGATTTAAAACTTAAAACGGCTAATAACTTATGTAGCATATAATCAAATACAGTGAAACATAAATTAAATATATTTTGCTAACATGGCATTAATAATTAAAAAGCATCGCAGAATCGTTTGAAAATTATTTTAGTAAAAACTGCATCGTTGTCGCTTTTGTATTTAATTCTATATTTCATTTTTTGCTGTTAACATTCAAATTCATTTGCTGTTATTGCACTTAAATCCTTCATAAGTCCTTCCAAATTGGCCATCTCTTGATTAAGTTCCTCTGTTGAAGTACTCGGCGCCAGTCTTTGTATTTCATCTGTGGAATGTGTTACTGAAGGGCCACCTTGCAGGCGATTGGGTGTAGCTGCTGAGAATGAGGGCTTCTTATAAGGTGATTGATTTTGCGGACGTATTGTAACAGCTGGAGCTGAAAGAAAAAATGTGAGATAATCTTATTACAATATCAAACAGAATATCAAACACAATCAAAATCGTTTATAGGGCTTTTAGCGTTAAACAGTTTAAGGACTGTATGGAACTAAATAAAAATAATTTGTAAATCATTATAGGAATTCTGATAGGACACTGGAAGTTGAACTAACAAACTTAAATCATCTTACAAAATTGGGAATTTACTCTAACGAAACTTGTAGATTTTATAGGGAAGAAAAAGAGAGAGAACTTATAATATTTATGCTGGATATTTGCCTGACACTAATAAACCAAAGAAGTTAGGTAGATAGGTATGAGATGAGATGAAATAAACTCTGTAATATAGACTCAGTACCACAAATTATAAAGGAAATTTCACTTGGAGAAATATAGTAATCAAGTGTATGAAGGGCGCACAATAAATTTCTAGGTTCCTTCAACATAATAGTAATAGAAAATATTATTTCTTTTAAAAATATTTTTATTTTTTTTAAATTATTGTGTAATATTTAAAATTACGGATGTCCAGTAAATAGTGGTTTATCGCACTACAAAAGAAATAGTAAATCTATTTAAGGAACTAGTCAGATATATATCTTAAAATTAATGCTAAACCTTTTTTATATTTTAACTTGATAAATAGCTATATAGATCAATTTAATGCTCAATATATGACTTTGAAAAAAAAACCATTTTGATTATAATATATAAATTAAAATAAATTGATCATGTAGATGTGAAGCATATAATAAGTCTTGCAATTTTAAAATGTTATATGAAAATCTGTTTGTCGGAATATGTGTCATCGTCGCCATATCTGAGATGAATTTAAAAGTGCTTTTATTAATATCAAAAAAATTACTATTTAACAAAAGGCTGTTGCGATCAATATAATACGTTGATATAAAAACTTTTATTCTCGAATAGTTTGAACTTAAGTATATAAAATATGAATAGTGTTCATATTGCTTCAATACTGCAATACTGAATAAAGCAGTGTATTGCCTCTTTAGTCATCTAATACCTAAATTATTTTAAATAAAAACAATAAATGAGAAAAATTTATCTCAACGATGACGAAGTATTTAAAATGGATATTAGACTAAATATTTATCTGATTGTTGAAACTAAAGTATAAACTTTAATTTATGAAAATTGAAATCTTCTAGAAATATTTCTGGGTATTACACGTACATTGAATTTGAGTTTATCTGAATTAAAATCATAAGATCGGCAGTATTATTGCTTGAAAATGTTTGTTTTTTGTGGGTATTATTTAAAATATGCTTAAGTTAAACTATAATTTTTATTTTGGTTGAAAAAAATATATATTTTTACCATGTTTATTAATTGCTGAAGGTCCATTTGTTGGAGGTGGTCCGGGTACACTAAAACTTTTAAGTGGGTGTCCACGTTTATTACTTTCTATTGTTGATACTCCACCATTACTCATAGCACTGCTACCGCCTCCAGCAGCACCATTAGGATAACCAGGATTGCTATACAAAATAAAAAAAATTTATTTTAATGTTATTTTATGTAATTGTTTATTATTTTACTTAATTCTAAAAATTTAGATGGATTTAATAAATTTAATTTTGAAATAAATAATTTGTCGTAGAAAATTACGGTATATAATACTTCTTACCAAAAGTTACCCTCATAGCCGTAAGGGTGCTCTGGCGTTTGCGCTAATGAATTGTTTTGTGGTTGAGACAGACTTTGTTGTGAGAGGCCTGTATCAACAGTAACATGTGAACGATTTGATGGTATATTATATTGAGTGCGAGGGTATTGTGGGCGTTCCATAGTAGAGTTCATAGAAGTTGCTAAAAGGTTAAAAATAAAAAGTTTATGTAAAAAAATAATAATTAATAAAAAACTTACTCATATAACCGGCCACGTAGGAACGTTTGTCTAAAGAGTTGGTCAAATGCCCAGGCACTGGCGTATCAACATCATATTCATGTACCACAGAACGAGGTAGGGTTAATGCACCACTGCTAGAAGCACCATCACTACAAACTATAAAAGAGATATTAATAAATGATTTTAAATGTGATAAATCTTAGGAAATCCTAACCTGGTGTAGAATTGTGTAAGCTCTTGTCAATATTTTTTAACTCCATTTGATCGTGGTGTATCCATAGATCTGGTGGTTTAGGCACACCCACAACATTTTTTTGATAGCTAAAAAATAATTGAATATAATTATTTTTAAATTTAATAACACTTAAATAAATTTACTCACTCAGTATCATACCTCTTCTTTGTATGTTCTGGGGTAGATTGAGGCTTACGTCTACACAAAACAATTATGACAGCGATAACAATAAATACTATCACTGCCGAGCCTCCAATAATCATATACAATATCAGTTCATTATTAATACCTTTCGCTATAACGTTAGGCTTTTGCATAATGACCGTAGCACCCGTTGTATAAGTTACTAAAGCAGAAAAAGGCGCATTGTTATTACCTTTACTGATGCGCGCTTGTACTTTGAAATAGTATGTAGTGTAGGGTTTAAGATTTGGTAACATTAACATAGTTTCTTCGCCGGAAAAGGCTTCTATGGCCCAGTCTCGATCGCGTTTTGTAGTATCCGTGGTGTAATATATATTATAGCCAGTAATTTGGCCTATACTATGTTTTGGTGGTAACCATTGTAGTATAACATTTTGTGGATTTTGTTCGTCTGGGCGAACCATTAATTCACGAGGTGGTGTTATAGGTACGTTTTGATAAGTGGTATTTTCTACTTGCATAGACCAAGCTGATTCACGTCTACCCTTTACAACCTTAACGACAATATCGTATTTAGTATTTGGACGTAGTTCGCTAAGCATGCAATTTTGATCGGATGTGTTATGATAACGGTACCGATTGGAACTGGATATACTATAACGCACAGTGTAGTGTCGATTATCAATGACATGTTGATTTTTACTTAATGTAGTATCGATCCAATAAACAACGATAGATGAACTGGACATTGTTATTGCACGTAAACCGACTGGAACTTCTAATGGTACTGGTGTGTCTAATGGTTCTTCATCTCGCGTTTTAATATTATCATATATAGGTGGACCATCACCTTAAGATGAAGATATTTTATATATTAAATCAATATAGTTAATAATTGAAACAAGATAAAACCTACCTTTTACGTTCCTAGCACGTAAAGATACTACATACTCAGAATTAGGCTCTAAGTTTTTAAGTACATAATATCTTTCCGATTCTTTGAGTTCTACAGAATTTTCATCAGGTATACCACGTCCCCAACCAAGTACGTAATTTCGTATTTTGATTTCGTGTCGTTGTGGTGGTCCCCAGTGTAGAGCAATATTGTCTGCACCTGGATGTATGGCAATCCACACAGGTTTAGTGGGTACCTGTGTTTCGTCCAAATCATTTTCTAATGTAGTAACGCGATACCATTCTGTAAATGGTCCTGAACCATTTACAGTCATAGCAGCAATTTTTACTTGATATTCAGAGTGGCGATCAAGTCCATTCAGTTCAAAATAACGTATATTTGCGGGAGTACTTTTTGTTTGTGGAGCGTCCTTCAGTTTACGATAACGAATTTTATATCCAGTTATTTGACCGTTCTGTTCCTCTTCGGATGGTGGTTCCCAATATACAGTAATTGACTAATTGTTGTGAATAAATATTAAAATATAATGTAATATTCAATAATTTTTTTTTTTAAATTTACTTACCGATGAACTGGTAACTTCTAAAGTAACATTATTGGGTGGCTCTGAGGGTGTTGAGGAAAATGTTTTAATTTTTATTTCATTGGATGGATCTCCCATGCCATTTTTGTTAAAAGGCACAACTGTTATTGTGTAATCGGTGTATGGGCGCAACTCCATAAGTATTGCCTCAAGTGTCGTGCTGTCGTGGTACATCTCTGCTCCACTGTCATTCTAAAATGTTGATTTTATAGAATTTTCAAGATAATAACATAACTTACGAAAAATATGAAATTAAAACTGGGAAATACTATATGTTGAGTAACTCCAGATTTTACTTTAACTTATTTCTTTAATATTAAAAATAAAAGAAGTATTATGGTTTGAATATTTAATGAAATTATGAAATGGATAATAATAAAACACTCTAGATCGGAAAATTAGATTTCATTTCAAACATTTCTCTAACATTTATTTTTAATTTGTGTTAAAAAATTTAATCATATTTTAATTTTTATAAAAACTGTTTACATTACACTGAAGGTGGTAAACGAAGCAGACCGAAATATCTGTAATTCAAATATTTATTTTTAATACATTTTCATTTAGCAAACATGTATGTAATAATGATATAGGATGTTCAAACATATCTGTCGTGAACACCACTGTTATTAAGTGGTGTCTATAAAAATTTTAGTAGAGTAAACTTAATCACAATCTATACGGTTATGTAGTCTAATGTCCCAAAAGAACGATGCTATCTCAGAAATCACTTTATTGTTTCTGTGTATCAGATCAACACTTGAATCTAGGGAGTATAAGTTCATATTTTACTTCATTGAACTGTGATTGTAAGAAAACCACCTACTATGAGTATAATTAATAGTAACTTAAATAAATAGAAGAGGGTCTGATTAGCTAGCTCCTGCGGAAATTATAATACTGGTTTTAAAAATCAATGTGATTTTGTACTTAAATTTTTTCTGCTGCATTTACCTCTGAATAGTATATGCGATACTTAAGTATCTCTCCATTTGTTACTGTAGGCTGATCCCATTTAACATAAATCTCTTTATGGTTTCGTGCAAAACCTTCAACATTTCTTGGCGGTCCAGCAATGTTTTCTTCCGGTTGCGTGCTTACTTCAAGTATCTGAAATTTGTATCCTCTTTAGTATAGTTCTATAAAAATTGTAGCTTAATGTACCTCTGACGATTCGCCAGGACCAAAATTTGTGTTTGCAATTACACGAAATTGGTACGTTTTACCAGGCAGTAGTGATTGTATATTGACTTGCTGATCATCATGCGATTTGGTTATAATTTTTTGTTCTCTATAAAATATATAAAGTTTTGGTGCTTTTATAGAATATAATTCTAAGAGTATAATAATCATATCCAGTTTTTTAAATTTAAACTATATTAATTTTTTATATATGTATATATAACCTATGTTTTAATAAAATAGCCTGCAAAGTTATTATAATTGTTTTTACATACCTTTCACTATTATTCATTTTATAAAACACTGTGTAGGAGACAACTTCAACTGGATTCTTAACTGGTTCCAACCAGCTGAGCGTAACAAAACGAGGCTTTACTATCTGTGCTACTAAGTCTTTTGGTGGACCAGGCAATCGATTTAATAATCCATTCCCTAGAAGACCAGCTGTTTTACCAGCTACTACTCCATTTCCAGCGTTATCCACACCATCTAAATCTGGGGATGAATAGGAAATTGCTTGAGAATTGGAAGAGGATGTAAGCTTTTTTTTATTTTTCCACGAATTCAAAACTTTATTTGGGTCATCGCCATGTTTATAGGCGTTAATAAATTCTTGATTTGAACTTGGATCGTCGTAATCGTCATCGTCTTCGTCTTCGTCATTTTCACTATTATTGTGTGTATTCGAATTAAAATCATGTTCATTTGTCGGAAGTTCAAGTGATAGGTCTGTGTCATCCATATCGTCTAACATTTCTGTCATTGTGGCAAGTTCACCATAATTGCGATCGTTTTGTGGTTTTTCGGATTTAAATAAATTCTTATTTTTTGAACTCTTCTGAAAGAGCAAACTATCGAGCGCGCTTTTTGAAATTATACGTGTCTTCTCGTTGGAATATTCACCGCCCGATTTTGTGCGAACTTCACTAGGTTGTGAATATTTTCGTCGTTTTATGGGTGCCGCTGATATTTGTAGTGATTTTGTGGTTTGTGATTGTGACTTTCGAGAGTTTTTTGATTTGCCTTAGGATAGGAATGTGTTTTTTTTTGGGATTATGGGATAGAAGGTTTAGGATGAAAAAATTTGAAAAAAAAATAAAATTGTAAAATAATGAATTTAAAATTAAATTAAAAAAAATTAATAAGCAAAAAAATATAATATATAATATGAAAAGTACTCTGTAATAACACCGAAAGCGAAAACTATTTTAATATGTACGACATTTCTACCAATCAAAATTATATTAAAACCAATTGCTAGATAAATATGGGTTATTAAATATATTATTAGTAATAAATATATAAATAATAAATTAAAATACACAACGAACATAAGTTTACTTAATACGGGAATCTTTTTACATGGGAATAGAGGATAATAAATTATTTGATTTTGAAACATTTTAACACACATTAAGACACTTAAGGGTATTCTTAAATCTGCTCTTTCGTGGTTAGTACAATAAGAGTGTACATTATATAGATTTAAAAATATTAGTAAGTCATATAAAGTAGAATCAGTATTAAATTAGAAAAATCTATGGATTGGCTAACCTGGATATTTTATCGCTGGCAAGGAATTCTCTTTAATAAGCCTTCATTGTAAAATTTTTCTCTTATTTATATGGGTATTTGCACAGGGCTGTGCAGCCAATGGTGTATACATTATTGACGATGACACAGACTACTTGCTTATTTTAAATAAGTAGTTTCGGAACCATTCTGTTCCGAAAATCATCTTCGATAGCCGTTTCAAGATACGGATCTTATCGAGAACTAAATGGAATACGCTAAAGGAAAAGAGAAATGAACTTCTTTACTGCCGGTTTTAAGTTTGGCGAAAGAGTTCAAAGATAAAGAGTTGGGAGTCTTCATGAATCTGCCCCTGACCATACTCACAACCGATATTGGAATATTCATTGCCATCTGTAAAATTATTGTTAGAGTTTATTGCTATTCAAGAGTGCAACTGGCAGCGTCTAGGTTAATATAGTCGATACTGGATAAGAAAAAATTAAGCGATCTACCCAGCCTATCCAAAAAGGACATAGATTGGATTGTAAAAAAACTAAAAATCTATTGGGTTTCAACAAACTTGCAGTTCGTGTGGTTGCTATAGTGCTAACTGTATTATCGTATAGAGGATTAAATGATGCCGCATTCTAACAAGCGGACTTCGTAGATGCAATATTGAAGAGGTGGTGAAATCTATCAGTCCACCCTATGTCTATGTCTATGTCTATGTCTGTAGTAACAGACGAATGATGGTGGACTTAACAGATCTTCCTAATTTCATCTGGAATACCAAATAGATTATATAAGACAGTTTAAATCGTCTCCACAGAGTAACTTGATGGCTGTACACGTGACAGAGAGAGAAAGTGTGGATGTTTATATTATGTTTATATTATGCTCTCAACTATAAATATTTATATACCAAATATATCAACTATAATTAATAATTATAAATCCTTTTAATTAAGGACTTTCTTAAGCTGTTAAATTTGTGTTAATAACATCTATTTCCTTTAAGCAAAATTAGGGGCTCGTAGTATTTTTACACATGTTTAAAGTAATACGGGACCCTGACTTCTTGGTATCTATGACAATCAATAAATAAAAGACAAAATATTGCTTTTTATTTTATTACTCTACCTTTTTTTGCTACCATCTTGTTCTAATTTTATTCCTGGTGTGAAGTTTCCTAAACTAAAATCAAACGGCTACTCAAATAAGTAAGCCAATGGAATTACAATACGGGTATATGTTAAATGTTCCAAAAGCAATTGTGTTGTTTAGTGATTTATGTATGCGTTTATGTAGCTACAATGGTTTTCAATAGATATTATTTCCGATTCTGTAAAGCAATTATTTACACATTAAATTTTAGTTATTTTTGTTGAACTACAAAAGCTTTAGATTGTTATTTTTAAGCGTTTATGGGGTTACATGTACGTTTTTTTTATAAAGCGGGGTTATTATTAGTATGACTTACCTGGTTGCACAACACGTAACCGCGCTGCAGCCTGGACACTACCGGCAGGATTAGTGCCTATACATTGAAACATACCAGCATCAGATTGCAAAAGGCCCAATATACGTAAGTTATGACCAGCAATAAGCTGCATGTAGTCGCTTGGTGTAATGACTTCACCATTCTTAAGCCATTGTATCACCGGTTTTGGTTTACCACGTATAGCACATTCCAATTCAAGTTCCTCTTTTTCACTGGCACTTTTATCTTTAGGATTTTGTATAAATTTCGGAGGTACTTGCACCTGTACAGTTGCTTGTGCATCTAACGAATCTACTATATTACTAGCGCGGCATTGGTAATTCCCTGAATCTATATCCTCGGCGGAAGATATTTGTAGTGAACCAGTTCCGATTATGGAAAAACGCGAATCAAGATCATTAAAATCTAATTCTTCACCATTACGTAGCCATTTTATTTGTGGTTTAGGCACACCGTTTGCTACACAATCGAGCGTTACCGTATCACCTTCTTTAACTGTTTTAGGCGATGGGCCAACTAAAAATGAAGGTGATACTGAACTTTCACTTAAAACACCGTTGATTTCATTGATTTTTTTTATGTTTAAATTTGTTTTACTACTTAAACGCGATACACTGCCTGAGGTGACATTGCATTGATAAACACCACGATCTGCAGCACTAACTTCATCAATTTCTAAAGCACCATTTGGTAGCACAACCATGCGTAATTTATCCAATGTCAATGGCATTTCATCTTTTATCCAATTAACAATATGCTTAATCCCCAGTTGAGATTGACCAATCATACAACGAAAATATGCAGTTTGTCCTGGTAGTAAATATGTTTCTATAAAATCTTGATTGAGATCGGGCAAACGTGCGACTGACACCAGAGCTGAGCGACTGACTATAGTGCCAATCCCATCGGCGCTTAAAAGACACTTATAAGAGCCAGTAACGCCACGATTCTCTTCCACAGAACTGATATATAATGAACCATTTTTTAGTTGTGTACGGAAAGTATCACCAACAATGCCCAAATCTTCATTGTCCGGTCCACGCCATCGAATGTTTGGCATTATTTTTGAGTTTTTATTTTGTTGTGCAGTTCCAGCGCATTGCAGGAGCACAGAATGTCCCTCTGCGACGACTACATCTTGCGGTTCTATTGTGAAAGTCAAAGCTGCAAGTAGAAATAAAGTAAAATAATGTTATAAATCGATAAAACAAGAATTGAAATTATGTATAATTTAATTGAAACTTAGCTTCAAAGTTTTTTGTTTTTGAAATTGATGAATAAAAGTTGAAAGAATTGTAGTGGCTTTAACAGCGCAACAACCTCTGTTCATATGACTATGATTTCTTCTTGCAATTCTTAACAACATATAATTTACTGCCTTCAGCTAAAAAATTCAGAAATTGTTTGATCCAACATATATAAAATAAGAAGAATTTAAGGTTAGAAGTTTCCATGAAATATAAACACAATGTGTTTCTCTCTTAGCGGTCTTAGCAAGATTTGAGTGATGTTCTTACTAAGGCGTTCTTATTACTATTACTCCGTCATGAGGAGAAAGAAATATCAAAACATGTTTTATGTAATTGCCCAGCGGTGGCAAGTCATAGCTTTAACTACCTTGGAAGCGGGATCTTGGTCCCAAAACAAATGGCTTCAATTAAACCAACAGCAATTACGAGATTTATAAATAGTCTAGAATTGTTTTAGTTGGGCTTTTAGTAGCACAATAGATCTTTATTGTCAGGGTGCTATCATTGCCTATTATTTACTAATAGTAATACTATGGCGTTAGTTTTTTTTAAGTCCACTTAAGTCCCAAATAAATTATTTTTGCATCTTTTTGAGCTTCACAGCTTTAGAAATAGAAATAATCAGGGTACCAGCTCCCAACGGAGCGGAGCACTGCGACTATGGTTGATCTTTTGTGGTGCAACAGACCCTAACCGAACAGAAGACGTTCCTCCTTCCTCGTAATGTCAGAAGGGGAGAGTAGTTCACCTCCTCCTGGCTCAGACTAAAAGTCACGTCTAAGCAGAGTTGACAATCTATTTAAAGAATGATACCTTACCATAACTGCAGGGATGAACCAGCTCTTTAGCCTGAGGGTTACCTGGAATGTCGTGCCAGTAGTGACTTCTGTCGGCTGAAACTCATTTATCGCTTCACAGGCTTACAAACCAGAGCATATGTCCAGTTCACTTGATGACAATTAGTCAGCAAGTTAAAATTCTTAAATAATTAATGAAACATTCGTTCCTTTAGCCATTTTTTATTGATTTTCTTGAAAATGACAGGATACGTAAATATTTGCATACTTTTTTCGTTCGGTTTTAAAAATACTTTTAATGAATTTTTGACATATTTAAATACTCATAAAAAATTCATTGGCATTTTTTAATAGGTACCTACTCACAAAAGGGATGGTAGCAGCAAACTTAACCTTTTGTTTAGTATTGTAAAACTCATTGACAGGATAATAAAAAATGAGAAAAAAACGAGAAAAAAATGTGAAATAAATTTATAAAGAACTTTTTTTGCCTTTGACTTTAGAGCCACACAGCTAAAGGCCAACTCAAAAGTGAATTGTCAACAACATGAGCAGCTTTATGTTGCATTGTTGTCACCAATATGCGATGCGAATCGTTCCCATTTTTCTGCAGTACTACTCCATGAATGGGGGGTTAGTGGCGCAGTTGCAGCTGCCTACTACCACTTTTAATTTATATCGCTAATTTAAGACTTCCATACATTAATGCCGTTGTTCTCGTCACAGCGTTAGTAACATCAAACCAGTCAGATAGGCAGACAGACAAGCAGACATCGACACACACTTACATAAGCGTTTGCTTATGCTTCTATGAGTTTCAGCATCTGCAGCATCAGATGAGATCTCACACTGGTTCATTGGTGTGACTACAAGTAAATTGTGGTTGTTAAGTGCGCCGAGTTTAATTAGTCATCGAATGGGTAGGAAGTATAGCCCTGTTTGTAAGCTGCAATGTTTACTAACTGCATTACACAGGCAGAAGCAGCAATGACATTCATATTGACGGGGGAAATTCCTGGAGCGTTTATACATTTTGAAGGTCTGGGTACTTTAATTAGCAAAATTTACACAGCTGTGTATTAATTCTAATGAGATTTCAATGTGCTTCCACAGGAGTTTGTGTTGAGTTTGTGATGTCGTTATTTGTTGAATTTAAAATTAAACTCTTTTTCCTTGGAATATTTATTTATCATATATTTTTGTTTCTGCTTCCATATGTTATATAGTTAATATTTCTAATTTATTTCTTGTCTGATAACGCAATATATTTAAAATCCTGTGTTTTCTTTTATAATATTGTTTCTTAAAACAATATTATAAATGCAATAGGCACAGAATATAAAAGTCCTGAATCAATTTTCTTATAGAATCACATCATTGAAAGTTCATGATTGATATCATTTATTTCTACATTTTTTATTTGTTTATTTTTACTTAAAATATTTATTAAATTCGATTTTAAAGTCAGTTATGATGGTAGCGACTATTTTACTCAAATGAAACTATTGTATTTAATAGAGAAGTTTTTGAATAGTTGTGAATTACAATAACTTTTTAATTTTTTATTAATTAAATTTTTGACTGACCATACAGTTGTTTCGAATATTGCCAAACACTCATCATTAGTAGTCTTGGATATATTTCTTGTATTTAATTATTCGTAATGTAAGTACCAAGGGTTGAGCTCTATAAAAAAGTTTAAACTGCTCCAAAAATATGCCGAATAATTTATGCAGTTTTCGGATGTGTGAGTGAAAGTTGGATTCAGGAGTGATTTCAATGTCAAAAATGAACCAGTCAGTCACTAAGAAAGTAACGAATTGTTAGGCGATATCGAAGACACAAAACATCAATCACATGGTAGTTTGAAATCATTTAAAAAAAGCAGGTTACGCAAAGAAGCTCAAACTTTGAGTATCACATAAATGAAAATTCAGTTAACCGAATTACCATCAGTCAATTATGAAGGGCGATAAAAAATGATAAATACAAGAATATTCAACGCTAGCGATCATGGTCAAAGACTGGTGATTCTTCACAAACGATTTCAAAGCCTGAATTGTTAGCAAACATGGGTATGTTGAGTGCTTGGTGGAATTGAAAAGGAATTGTCTATTTCCCTCTTTTTATTTTCCAGCCTGATAAAACGGTTAACTTAATCTTAAATTGTTTACAATTTGACTGTTTAAACGAAACGAAACAACCAAAGTAAAGTGACCAAAATTGGCCAACAAAAAAGGAGTTGAGTTCCATCATGAATGTGCTAGGCCACATGTATCTGAATAAATTGACAGAATTTATTTGGGAAGCTTTGATGCATTCATCGGATAGCTTGGACCTTACATTGTTTAATGTCAAACCCTTTTAATGTTTAAAAATTGGCCGATCGAAGAGTTGCTAAAAATCACTTGGGCAAGTTTTTTTTGCTGATATGCCATAGTTGTTTTTCATAATTCCACATTAATGGAATTGTGAAGCTATATTGAAAATGTCAAAAAGACATAAATAACAATTGCTTATATAAACTTTATTCAAATTAAAGTCGTTTTCAATTGGTAAATTAGGATTCAATCCAGAGTTACTCTCAATCTATCAAATTATGTTGTCGAATCGAAATTATTTAGAGTTACCCAACATTTATTTTATTTATTTATTTATATTTATTATCTATTTATAGTTATTATATATATTTTATTTATTTTACTTATTTATATTTATATTTATAATTATATCTATTTTTATTTTTAATTATTTATTTATTTTTCTTTTTAATTATTTATTTATTTTTAAAAAAAAATTGTGATGTACATCAAAAATTGTACTTCATATCTTTTTATATTTCAATGATACTGAAGCACTTTTTAATCGTTTGCAAAAATAATATCTAAATTACAAAAAAAAATGAATAATTTAAAAAAAATTAAAAAAACAGCATTACTCCTAACATTAAATTAGAAGAATATGCACTCACTCTACACAGACTTTTAATGTTTCATCAAGCGTACATTTCACTTCACTTAACTGCAAAACCGTGGTACGTCCAAGTCGTTGCGAGTGCCACAAAGTCCGCTGGATGGATGCTGTTTAGATGGATGGTGGTTAACTATGTAGGGTAAGTACAGACGAATATGCACTCCAAACGATTAAACGTATTTGTAGTGCATTGCAGTGCACTGCAGGATGGTTGGGAATGGAGTACTGCTGCAGCTACAGCTACAGTTACAGCTTTACTATTTGGTATTAGTGAGATTATGTTTTCGTGTACACGTCGGTTGCACTTCAGCGCTGGAGTAGCCTTTGAGCTTGTTTACTTGTTTATTTACACAAGGTTTTAGTTAAATTACGAAGTGCGTGGAAGGTTTCAAATGTTGGCATTGCAGATACCGCCGAAGTCGGTCAGAAATGATTTAAGTACACAATTCACAATTCACAATTTTGTGTAAATACAATTTCTACGAAATAAATATTATTTCGCAATGAATTTGTTAACACTTAAAAACAATTTCTCTTAAATTTGTAAGTTTTCTTTTAATTTTTTGGTTAAAATATATTTTCTTTTATTTTAAAAGATACATATATTTGCTGTATGTTGGAAAACTTCCATGGGAGTGAAAACCGAATGGCATAAGTCATTTGGAATTATGTTCGCAATCACGTCAAATGCATTCGGCGCGTGCAATTGTGGCTTAAGAAAAATTTAATGCCATAAATGCCTGAAATGCTCGCCAATTAGTTGCTGTGCTGAGAGCAAAAACCCCATTCTTTGGGTTTAAAACTATTAGAATTTCTATTAGAAGAAGTTATTGTAAATACGGAAAAAATGCGCTTTTTGTGCGCTTTCACACGTACTCACGCATGCAACCAAATGTGTCGAGCATGAATGCATAATGTTTTTCACCATGAAAAATATATTTTCCGCGTCATTAGCACAAACGAGAATACATTGACGAAGATGAAGACTACGGCGACGGCTTTTCTTTTGTGCATTTTCTTTGTATTTTCCTTAATTAAATCGAGTTTTTCATTTCCACCTAGAAAATCTGTTACACTCCTTAGTTTGCGTGTGCATCAAACTACATTTGTGAAATTGTTTGTTAAATCGTTTGTGTTTTGTAGT